AAGTTTCAGACCTAAGAATTTTCATCAATATAGCTATTCTCAAGCTAAAATTATTGGTGTTAAAAAAAATATATGATCATCTTTGACTTGTTTATTTCTATTTCTGCTACTCTCGCCTGCCACTAAGTCCTAAAATTATTTTCCTCTGTTTGAAAATCCATTTATTTTTGCCCATTCCCACCACTTGTGGTTCTTTGTTCTTGCATTGTTACAATAGTGTACTAGCTGGCATCCAGACCCATGAGTCTTATCTTCCTAATTTATTCGGTACATGCTGACAGATAAAACACTGCTTTCATCAGGTGCTTGCTCCTTCTACTTACTGAACAAAGTCTAAAATACTGATCCTGACATTTATAGCCTTCTACAAAATCACCCCAGGCACCAGCTCACATCTTCAGAGCTTTCACTGTCCACTTTTCTGTGGACACATTTACTGTTTTTATTTTTCTTACCTCAAATGCTTAGCTTATAGAATTGATCCTATTTTGTATTATTTTCTCCTTTGTACTAATCCTAATATTATGGTGCAAGTCAAGTCCCAGCTCATCTTTTAGGTCTTTCTTAAGCTCTTTAGCTTTAAATTACTGCTTTCGCAATGGATCAGCCTTGAACTCCTACATGTTGGATGTTACAAGTGATGCCATTTCCCTAATCAAATGGAAGCTCCCTGGCCGGAACACCTTCCTTCTTTCCTGACGCTCATGGCTCTTTCAACACAGCCTTCTGAATGCCATCACAGCTGAGCAAGTGACTGGAATTAGGAAATCTAATATACTAGAGAGGACGGGGGTTGCTTCTCTATAGTCTTTGCTGATTGACGCTAATCCTTACTATACAATTATTTTAATCATTAAAAAATAGCAAAAGTTGGCATATTTTAAGTCTCTGACTAGATAAAAACAAAGAAGAGAATAGCAGGAACTGAACAGGTCGATCACGCAGAATTCTGAAAACAGCCATGACCATCAAAGGAAAAAATTATGCCATTTCGTCATTAGCAAAATATATTTCTACGCTCTTGATTTTCCCCATTTCATGCTTCTGTAGAAATACAGGCTCTAAGAAAAAAAAATCTTTACCAAGGCAACAAAACTTATAATCTTATGGAATTTAAGAGGGTTCCCCTTGAGAGAAACAAGATGGCGGTGCAGGTAACAGCTGCGCCCTCCCCCCCCAACCACATCAAAATCACAACTAAAGCACAGAACCACCATCACCAGAGCCTCCTGAGATCCGGCTGCACAGAAGCCCCACAACCAGGGGCTGAAGGAGCATCCAGAGCGGGAGGAGGGGCGGAGACGGGGGCGGATCGGGGCTGAATCGCAGAGACGCGGTGCTGTGGGGTACACCAGGGAGGATGTCTCGGCGGTGGGGGTTTCCCGGAGGAGGGAGGGGTCCCAGCCCCACAGCAGCCCCCAGCCCAGGGCTCCAGGGCCGGGAAGAGACGTCCCCACAACTCCGGGCTATGAAGCCAGCGGGGACTGTGGCTGAGGGTCGCGGAGGCTGCGGGAGCCCCAGCAGCTCCTCTAAAGGGCCCGGCACGGACTCACTCGGACGCTCCCTCTGAGCCCAGCGCCGGGCAGCAGCCTGAAAGGACCCGGGACACTCGGGGAGGAACTAACCTGCCTGAGATCCGGGCGAGAGG